AACAACAAAATTCTCGAGCAAATAAATTACTCGAGTTCTCCGCTACCAAACTGGAATGAACAATATAGCACATCACCATCCACCAAACAACTCCACAAACAACACCTCACTACATCACTTGACCCAATTTTTCTTTCTTTTTTCTTTTTTAATATATATCTTTCTTATTCGGAGAGTAACTTTTTCCGAACAAGATCGAATCAAAAGAACAACATTCTGTAGGTGTGAACATTGGAGGTCGTCCAAGTGTCCTACAGTAGTTTCCAAATGCTCATTACCCGTCAACGCTATTGACTCATAAGAGGAGCAGAATCCAATCGATTCGTCCTGCGAGCTCTCATTTTTTTTTTTTCAGGTCAAGCCAATAAAATGCAACTTAAATTTCCACCATATTCAAAAATGCCACCAATCCCCCAATCATCACACAAAATCAGTCAATAGGTTGACAATAAAAGGTTTTAAGCTCAAAGTGCTACTAGTGGAATAAATTTTAGGACCAAATAACAAGGCAGAAAGAGAGCTAATCAACAAAATGCTTCAATCATATTCGCAATTTCAAACTCAATCGTTTCCTTTCAAACAAACTCAAGGCAAGTTCTAATCATTCAAGAATATGACCAATATCTCACAAGAAAAGGATAAGGCTCAAAACCTCACAAGGTAAATAAATTTCACTCAAAGCAATCAAGCAAATACCGAGGCAATGACCAACACGTTCATTATCACAACTTCCCAATTTCATCAAACCTAAAGCTAGACCGGTCCACTACGTAAGCATGCAAAATCCAATAGACTCCCCCACACTTAAAATGAGGCAATGACCTCATTGCTTCAACTCAAAACAGGAAGTCACATAATAGGACCCAACATTTTCATATAATGAACCAAACTAGCAGCTAACACAAGACACAAACTCAAAAGAAAAGACAAAAGAAAGAAACAACTCAAAAAGAGAAAATAAGAAAAGGGTGTGCAAACCAAAGTGCCTCGAGGAGAAATAGCATGCATGTGCAAGTAGCTCGCCTATGATCAGCTTCGCGAACTCATCCTTGCCACTAAAAAAATCACGAAACTCTAAACTCCCATTATTCCAAGATAAAACTAAAAAGTGAAAAGAAAAATATCTAATAAAGCAGTAAATCGCTTGGGTTGCCTCCCAAGAAGCGCTTGTTTAACGTCATTAGCTTGACGAAACCTGAAGAGAACTCATCCTGGATCTAAGAAGAAGTGACGGTCGTGCCACGCCTTCGTATTTTCCAGAAATGGTAGCCCGGGCAGTGTGGCTAGAAGGCGAGCATAGTGGATCCGGGTGGCCATGTTCTGTATAAAGAGGTCTCGGGTACGAGCAATTCCCAACTCTAGACGTAGAGCTTTTCCCACCCGAGCTCTATCGTCAACCTCCGAAAATATAAGCTCATCTGTGGAGCAAGTCGAACTGAATGCTTCCCACTTCGTATCACGGTGTAAGGGCCTCGGAGAGGGGTGCTCTAACTCGGAAGTGGGAGGTGGGACTCGAGAATCAAGCCCATGGATCTCCTCCTCTAAAATATCACCAATGACTCGCTTGAGCTCATCCTCTTCTTCTTCGGCCTCACACATTTACTTCATCGTGCGGGCTTGAGTATCAAGCATGAGGTGGGGGTCGTCGACTTCTGCCTTGATTGAGCTGGTATGTGCTGCAAGAATCTCCATTTGTGTGCTCAGTCGAGCACACCTGAGCTCAATCTCCACATCTCGAGTGGACTGGGCAGATATGTGAGCAAGGATGAGGTCGAGCTTCTCATCGAACGACAAAGCAGCCTCCCGAGGCTCGTCCCTATATGTAGGTTCGCCTTGAGCGGTGGGCTCAGTAGTGACACTGGTAACTCGATCCTCTAATAATTTCACGCGCTCCACTAGGTTCTCGATTCTAGACTCGATATTGCTCCTACGGGCAGCTTGGGATGCCAAAAGAGCGAAGGCCTGATCGAGCTTGGCATTGTACTCTAAGGAGTCCTCGAAAGACTCATATGGCTGCTCAACAGGCCCGAAATCCCATTGCTGCTCGAAGGGATATGATAATGTCTGGCCATAGTCCCAAGAATCATGGTAAGGAGGTGGCTGGTTTGGATGGGCACACCGGGCTGCGGTCTCTTCTTCCTGAGCTAACCGGGATATTGTGAAATCATAGATGCGGTCGAGCTTCTCGTTGAACGCATGGGACTCATAATATTGCTCGACCGGGAGGGGGTCCCAGTACTGCTCGGAAGAGTAGGGGTAAGACTGGACGTGGTACCCGGTGTGGTAGCTTGGCTCGTGGACCCAAGATTGGGTGTGCGAATAGGGAAGCACACGATTGTAGCTCATACTACCTGCACACAAAAGCAGAACAACCACGCGTAGCCACGAAAAGACAAGAAAAAGAAAACAGAAACAAGAAAGACAAAAAGGAAAACAAATATGCACAAAAGAGAGAACAAAAAAACGAAAATCAAGAAAATAAGAAAAACACGAAAAATAAAATCAATACCAAGACCAAATATCCTACTTGCCTTCCCCGGCAACGGCGCTAAATTTGTTGTGTACAAATTATTCTTTTTATCGAGTACCGAATCTAAAGATTCGTTCTCCGGGTCGATCTCACGAGGAAGGTTGTTCGGAATTTAGTTCTGATATCGATAACAAATAAAAAGAAAACAAACCTAAACACTCTAATCGAATAAGGATGGATGAATAATTATCAGCTAAGAAATAATAAAAAGCAATAACCTACCTAAGAAGATAAACGAAACAATGAAAAAGAAGCTAGGGAGTCGGGGATAATTAATTCAAGTTCTAGCAAACTGGGCAATCAATTGTTCGGTTCAAGATTGACACTCTCGCTTAGACATCTAGCGGTTCGCTCCCAATAACTCTTCGTAACAAGGGATTGAACATGGACGAACAAGTTCGAGCATACGACACATGCCAATTATCCCAATCCCAATAACTTTTCGTAGCAAAGGACGGGTCATTAACAAGTACGTATTTCAATCTAAAACACGTAGATTAGTCAATTACGACATCGTCTACCTCATGTGAGCCTAAGTCTACGACTTTTCCCCTTTCAGTTCAAATAGTCGCTAATTTAACTAGAAGAGTGTTAATCGACTAATCACATAGAATCAACGAAACTCTAACTCGACTAATCAACATTCAATTGTTACCAACTGCAAGATCGAAGTGTCACTCTTCGATTATATCAATTAATCAAGCAAGAATTTATCAATCCCTAATAGAAACAACTCACATAAGAAAGAACAATTTCAAGCCCGAGAGATGCGAATTAAACAAGAACAATCGTTCTCCAATCCCTAGCGAAATGAATTAGCTATGCATATTGAATTCAACACAAATAATCAT